ACATATACTCACTTGCCAGCGAATGACATTGGCTAGAGCCAATCGTGTCATATCATGCATGAATTAGCAGAATTTCGAATTCATGAATTGGCTATTGGATCGAAGCCGACTGGCTTAATCGTCCTACGAGCTCGCCTCTCATAACCGGAAAGTCCTGGGTTCGAATCCCCTGGTGGTGGTGGTGGTGGATGAGTACTGATGAAGAGTCCCAAACCAGGCTGACGAAACAGCTGTCCAGTACTCCCTCCTGTGGTTTTCAATGATTTTTTCCAATCGATATCAGTTCATCATGCAATTCCTGTAACAAATATATATGTATCTTTAGTAGTAGCATATGCATGATTTCGGACATTTTTGGCGTTCATCAGAAGCACTAAAATTACATCTGATGACTATGAGAGAAGACACCATAGTTTATAATGAAACAGTAATATATTTCTAATGTACTGATTGATATTCCGTAAAAATATCACTCTGTCCTGTTTTTTTCCACTTTTACTTCTGTAGCACATCACATCCTAGTCACACGATGATGATAAGTGAAACAATCTCGGAGAAAAATGGCACCATAATTAGCTCCCAGGATAGACGACTGGAACGCTGGAAAGAACACTATGAGGAGCGGTTTAATTGGCCTTTATGGCTGTGAGACCTGGCCATTGAGAGAGGAAGACATGAAAAGATTATCTGTCTTCGATCATAGGTGTCTGCTTTCTATCTCCCGTGTGAAGTGGTATAATAAGGTGAGCAATATTGAGGTTAGGCGGGGGAATCAGTCGACGAGACTGTGAAATTACATCGATTGAGATGGTTAGGACATGTGTTACGTATGCCTAGTCATCGCCTTCCTCGACAATGGGCAATGTTAGCTGATATAGGGTCAGGCTGGAAAAGAGCTAGCGGCGGTCAAACGAAAACATGGCACCAGTCAATGAAATCCACAACAGTTAGTCTAAGCCACGTAGGAAGATGTAGACTTCCTGGTTGGGTTCCTCGGGACGGTAAAAACCAATGGTTGGAAACAATTGGTGACATGGCTCAAAATCGTTCTCAATGGCTTACGCAGATGCATCCACTCCTTGTGACTTATGATTTCCAATGAAACTGTTTTGTTCTTCGTTATTACTATACCTTTGTCTCACACCTCTGTTTACTGTCTCTAATATGCATTTCTTCTACTTTCTTTTCTTGCTTTGTGTGCTACAAGAAGTGAAGTGTGGCGACTTGAACTGCCGCACATATGTGCAAAGTTCTATGTCGAAAACAGACAGACAGACAGTCACACGAAATGGGTCAATAATGCGCATGGCCAAAAAGTATGAAAAATTTCATACAGCTAGCTAGTAAGAATAATATTATAATGGGCAAAAAAATTGTAAAATATTGGTTGGTCGGTTGAATTCTAGTCAGCAAGGTTAGTTAAAATTATATCGCATATAAGCCAAATTTGCCCATTTTCTCTCTATACTTTGGATAAAGAAAGCAAACAGTTATTATCTGTCTAGCGTATCTGTCTTTTAACCAATCACTGAGCGTGTTATTTTCCTTTACATTAAAACAACATGAAACAGAATGTTTAAATATATACACAGTATTCTATTGCTGACGTAGTATTGAACTGTGGGAATAGTGTATTCTGACTGTAGACACTATGAACGGTTTTCCCGGAACACAGGTAATTGCAACTTCATTCTCTGGTGATCCATCCATCAGCTCTTTGTTAGTCGGTTCGTGAAAAACATCAACAAGGTAGCGGCACCGCTGGTCAGAAGACTCGTAGAAGGTATTCGACTGCATTAAACAGCTGATGAACCACAAGAGAATGATGATATTGCAATTACCTGTGCCGGGTAAAAACCGTTCATAGTGTCTACGGATGCCAGCGACTACAGAAATGGGCGTAGTGCTCCGACAGGGTGACGACGGGGTTGTTGAATACACCAGCCGTGTGTTTCAACGCACACAGAACAGAAGTATTCAACAATAGAGAAGGAATGTTTGGCGATTTACTTGGTCAACGCTTCCACGTAGAGACTGATCATAAGCCGTAGCAGTGGCTGAAAACCGCCAGAGACCCATGTGGGAAGTTGTCACGGAGTACGATTTCACGATCTCTCTCATGTTCCAGGAGAAGAGAACGTGTTGCCAGATATTTTTATCTAGAAAAGAAGAGGTAGAGTTACTTGAAATGGCATGTGGTGTAAATGTGCCCTAGAGGAAGACCCAGACAGACTTGTCCAGAGTCAAAGACCGTACGACACCCTGCAAACTGTCATAAAAGTGATAACTAACGCAAGAAAAGGTGAACCGCCCCAAAGCGAATCGTGAGTTAAACCTCCTACTCAAAAAGAAAGACCGGCTAAGCTTGAATGCCTGTGGAATGTTGACGTGGCAGGAGGATGACGGAAGCTGCTTAGCAGTAATACATCAATGCTTGCGCCAAGAGATGATACAAGAATGTCACCAACTAGCACACACAGGTGTTGCCAGAAAGAACGATCTCCTGCGACAAAGCATGTACTGGACAGGGATGAGAGATATCGATAAGTAAGTAATGGTGTGTACGCAATGTCAGCTGACGAAAGTTGATCGGTACATACGACCGTCGCCGCAGTCGATCCCAGTGACAGCCGTGGGTGATCTGAGGACTGTAGATGTAATGGGACCTTTTCCACAGACATCCACTGCCAATCAGTACCTTCTGGCAAGGACAGAACATGCTAAACGATGGCTAAACGCAATCGCGATCCCGGATAAACGAGCGAAAACGGTCACAGAAGCGGTGATTCAGCATATCTTTGTAGATCACTGTGTGCCAAAAGCGATATTGACAGATCAGGGTATGTGTTTTGAAAGCGAAGAGTTTTAAAGCCCGGCTGCAAGAGCTAGATATATCAAGAAAATTGGAACAACGCCATGCCATCCACAAACGAACGGCTTGATGGAGAGAAATAACCGTACCCTAAAAGAGTGGCTGGCCATAAAAGGGGGTAGTAACTGGGAGACACAGAGCTCCCACTGATTCTGCTAGCACATCGTGCGTCCACCCAAGAAACGAAAAAGAAATCACCGTTTCAATCGATGTACGGGAGGAAACCACGACTACCAATACATAACAAGACATGGCCCTGCCACCAGCAATGGAGGAAAGAAGCGGAAAGAAGCAATCAACAACGTAAAACGAAAGCAGAAGCAAGGACTCTGTGAAATCCGAAAAGAGAGAAAAGCGGAAGTACCCCACGCATTCGAAATCGGAGATCAAGTTAAGTGTAGAGATATGTGAAACACCGGCGGATACGTGCCAGGTTCACGAAAACTGCTGCCAAACTGCTTGGGAAGGACCATAAACGGTCACCGTGAGATGGGGTCATGTATATACCATCAGAAATGCAAACAGAGAGAAACAGGTGAACGTCAGCGAGTTCCAGAAATGGATACAGAGAGAGAGACGGACAAATGAAGACGTCAGCACAGAGAAGAGTGGACCGACTTCAGTCTAAACTATTTGACAGGGGGACGAGTGTGATGGTGTGATACAGACAAAGTTTTTCAACGGAATATTATATATATATATATATATATATATATATATATATATATAGCTTATATTCTTTAACCAATCACTGAGCTTGTGATTTTGGTTTACACTAAACGACATGAAATAGAATGTTCAAATAGATATATGGTATTCTGTTGCTAATACCGACTTGAACTGTGGGAATATGTGTGCGTCGGTGGCACAGTGGTTTGGACTCTCGCCGACCATGCACATGGTCCGGGGTTCGATCCGATGCCGACGCACACCCGATATCTATGGTCGGCCTGCAAAATTTGGGCTACCGATATCACATGCTGAAAATTCCATACCTGTACCAAAAATACGGTGTGGAATCAAGCTGTAATCAAAAATATAAAATATATCAGAAGCACTTCATATCAAGTGGAATCCAAATTGTCTGAACTGAATAGGAATGATGGACTAAAACAGAATCTGACCTGGTTACAACACCTCCCTCCCCCATGAAGTGACAAAATCGACAGGAATGTGATAAGCAAGTTAACTATGTAAACACACACTACTTTTATAATTTTACATACCGATCAAATCCAACCATCCACACTTGATTTTGTTATCTTTACCAATTGACCAACTTGACAACGAAAAATAACCCCAGACTGATGAACGATGATCAAGTTAATAAACTTTGTTTTGATAACATAACAGATGTACAATTGTGGTGAGAGCTGTCTACTAGCCAAATTGGTAGACAGTAATTTACGTCAATATTTACCTTCCCAAGATTTGTCGTGAGAAAATGTGAACAAAGATTGATTCAAAACCGACCACAGCAGGCTTTGAGTAGGCGGATGCAGTTAACATATAGAGGATTTGACATTCAAGAAACAGTCACAAATAGATGAAAGATTAACTTTACGTGAGAAATAACCAATCGGAAGACTGTGTTTGTTTACTTAAATATCCATAGTAATGTACATGAAAATATATATAAATATGCGTTGATTTCCTTAATAAATGATCTGTTGCCTGACTCTTGCCTTCTGTCGTTACACTATTACCTTTGTTATTTGGTTTAGTGATCTTCATTGTTATTTTAACTTTCAATATGCCCACCTTTTAACTTGACCTAGGTCTTTTTTCTCACCCCTTAACTCTTTGTTATATATATGCTGAATGGATTTTGCAAATTCCAGTTTAATACTACTTTGATAAATTTATTAGCAGCAGCATTAAATAGCGAAATGTCAGTAAAAACAACAATATCGTTTTGTTTTTCATTCATTGAGAAATACAAAAAACCTTTATTATAATGAATATCATATACCCAATGCCCAAATTTTTTCAAACTGTTAAAAGTGAACTTGGTTTGGACATATAGAATCGTATTCCGTTGGCACACATTGTCTGTATCACACCCCGACACTACTACTACAACTGCTGCTGCTAATAATAATAATAATCAATATTACTATTACCTCACCTTTAATTTCAAATTATCTACGAACATTTCACCACCGAGATAATTCCAGTCTAAGTCGATATCACCGTTGTATATCAATACAGATATCTAAAAGAGAATAAAAAGAAGGAGAAGAAGTGCGGAATGAGACTGTGACTACACTGAAATACAGTTTGTTTTAGCAAATATCGAAAGCAATTAGAAAACAAGCCAAGAGATAGAGAGAAAGGTGGGGTTATAGGGAGATAGGAAAGATTCAACGGTGAAGGCAAATCATAAAGGCAACAACAATGAAAAGAAAAATTCTGGTAGCAAACTGTTGAATAAAAATACCTAAGAGGAGATGGAGACGGATTGAAACAAAAATTTAGAGGAAACTACTTCCAATTGACATCACAGGAGACAGACACCTTCAAGTGAAGCTTGAATAGGAATAGGACAGGTTGCAGACTTTCATCAACAGGCTTTTTTCGCCCTCTCTCATTATATTGAAGATCAGATGGTTGGTCGGTCAAAAAGAATAGGTAAAACGGAAGTGTCGGGCAATGAACCAGTCAAGAACCTATTGGTCAGATTGATTTGATATTAGATAGTTGGAGGCAATCGGCCATAGGAAGCCTTGCCTGACCTAGGTTTCGTGCTAGTTGGCACTCATCAGCAAGATGTATCTGCAACCACCTTGAAGGAACTCATGTCCCTTCTGAGATTTGAACCCGCGTCACCCAGTGCCTCCTGCAGTTGTTGCCATTGGCATATAGTTGAAACGATGTTGCCTAGATAAGTGAGAAAAAAAGTGGCCTCTTTCAAATTTTGTTCCATTAGTGATAGTAATTGGTGGTGGTTGGCGTAACACACTCTTGTTTTCATTTCAAAAGCTTCAATGAGTTGTTTCCATTGTGGATCCAATTGACATGTGGTACTGTGGTGACTGTTGGAGGTTGATAAAGATTTGCGGCAGGCTCTCTCCATAGTGTTTAGGCATGAAGTACTTTCCCGATAACACTTCTGACTTTTCATCGGATTCGATGAAGCTGAGGTAGGGATTTATTTGACTGATAATTCCACAGCGCTAACGATAGACACAAAACAACCCAGTAACGTCATGTTGAATAAAAGAAAACAACATCGAAGCATACATACATACATCAAAGGCCTAAAACGACACGTCAGTCAACACAGAACAAGCATTTCGGTCTAGTTGGTGTATCGATCAACGGGAGATATATGATTACTCCCTTTGGGTTCCGAGTGAAACATCTGACTGGCTTCAACAACACATCTCCACTTTTTACTTTTTTTACTGTTGTCCTCTCTTCAGTTAGGTCAACAATTGACACATAATCTCTCATCTCCTCCTCCTAGCACGATCTCCTCCATGTCACCCTCACAATGACGACCCCCTCAAGGAATGGCCTCCTCAATCTATGCCCGATCCATCCATTTCCATTTTTTCTCCCACGTATTTGTTGAGCAGTCGGCTCTTGGTCGGCTTATTACCAGCCAGACTTTCTTGTAGCTAATTCTTTCCGGCCAGACATTTGATCTTCACTCAATAACAAAATTAGTGTTATTACGAGCACAAGAAACCAATCTGTCAACCTGAGACCGAGCACTTCGGTCCAATCAATCGAAGGGGAAAATCTAAAATTCAATTAAATAATTAATATGACCCGTTTCACAAGAGGTGGTTGGATCTCATGGCCCAAGTGGTCTGGTGGATAACGCTTTGGCGTTGGAAACTATGGGCACTAGGTTCGAGCCTCGGTGGGGAAATCATCAACCAACTGGGGAATGCAGGTATATCCAGTTGGTGATGAGTCCCAAATAGGACGAAATGTACCTAATCCTGGAATCCACTGCTAGCCACCATCCACCAATGATATAGTGTTATTACGGTCAAGATTATTCTAAGAAATAAAACCCCCACTAAAACAAAATACTATAAGTGATTACTGACTTACTCTGGATTGAAGTAGTTTCATATACTGGTCAGATAAGTCGTCATAAGTACGAATATAATTAAGATTAACTTCATCACTGCATATATCCCATTCCTTTGGCACATCTGGTTTTACATTGATAAGTCGACGAACAACAGGTGAATTTAAATAACTACGTATCATTGTATCGTCTACACATGACTTAGTTAAACGTGTAGTCAAATTACGACGTAGGGCAGAACTGCAAAAGAAAAAGAGATCGATTCACAACAAAGTTAGCTTGTCCCAACAAAAGTCAAGCGTATAATTCATACAAAGAGAGTATATTTTGTAAGATAATTATTATGGATTGAGATGATCACCTTTTAGAGGAACAATAACGAATATGTGTGGGTGGGTACATACTACTGATTGATTGAGACAAGTAGTTGGCAGTGAAACCTCTACCTTAACTTCATCGACTTCGAAAAGGCGTTCAACAGACAGTGTTTTGACCGAGAAGTAATTTGTAAAAAGTCTTTATCAACCTCATTCAACAAACAAACAAACCAAGAGCCGATCACTGAACAAATATGTAGGAGAAAATGAAGATGGATTGAATACACGTTGAAGAGAGAGTACTGACTGACATCATACGCCAGTTGGTCTCTCGAGTGGAAAGGATGAGTTAGGTGTTCGAGGGTGACATGGAGGAGATCGTGTGAGGAGTTAAGGCAAGCTTATGAAAAACCGTGAAGCTAGCCAAATAAAAGTGATGCTAGAGAACTGAGTAAATTGGAAATGAGCTGTTGAAGCCATCTATGTTCCACTCGTAACCCCAAGAAACTATATATATATATACCTATCTGGATTCCTATCGGAAGCTCTTATTACTGTTTCCTCTTGCAGATATTCGCTACTTTTTCTCTTAATCTTCATGAAGTCTCAACGTTAGCCCGATTGTCAAAGGTCGGGTATACAATGTTTCAGTGCAGGCTATCTTGCTCTACGCCTGTGAAGCCTGGCCTGTCCGAGCTGAGAATGTGCGGCGGTTCTGCGTATTCGATCATCGATGTCTCCGTAGGATTGATTGCGTTCGATGGCATCATCGCGTGAGTAATTCTGAGGTTCGGTGGCGTGTGTTTGAACACAGTGGAGATCACCACTTTATTGAGTGTCGTCATCTGGAAACACTGGCTCCGGTGGCGACTTGGACATGTGCTGCGAATGTCATCTCAGAGGCTTCCGTACCGGTGGTCTCTGTTCGCTAGCCCTGGGACGGGATGGAAAAGGCGGAGAAGTGGTCAGTCCATGACTTGGCGTCGTGGGATGAGGGATATTTGTGCTAGATTAGCATCGGTTGGTGCGTCACGACTCCCTCCCTGGTTGGGGTCTGAGAGATAGCTGGAATCGATGGCTCGAAACGTTATCGGATATGGCCAAGAATCGTAATCAATGGCGAACGTGTTGCGATTTCCTTCTTTTCTCCCTTCCCGATGATAGTTAACGAATACTGTATGAACTTGTAAAGTTTGCCTGTTTTCCCTCCTGATGAAGTTTTTCATCCGTTCGCCATCCATATTTTTACTTTTAATCTATGTTGTTTTATTATTGTTATTTTATGGCGCATCTTTCTTGGTAACATATCGTACCAAGTTTTTTCTGCATTTAAATAAAATAACATGAGGTTTCCAAGTTAATTCATGCAAAGTATCTCTCATAGAATTCGGCCTGAACCAATACCAATGACTAGATGCAGCATAACATCGGCTACACTATTCTACTGACCAGTCAGTGTATTCACACCACAATCCAAAGGGGAAGTGAATCGTCAGCCCTAATATAACTCAATAGTAACATCGCCAACTGCACCACTTAGTGAGTGTCATAAATTAAAATCTCAAAGGGATCTCAGTTCTTGCAAAGGTGGATGTGTGCACAGACGCTGTGATAATAAATAAGTGCCAAGTAAACACGCACCTAACGTCTACGTGTCTTTCATCCGATGGTCTCCAACCAGATCTTAAATTAATTCACTGTGTGTACCATAGTGACTACTAGCCACCTAGCTTGGTGGTAGCCTCACTGCACCAAAGAATAAGATGCATGGCATTCGTCACTTTCTAGTGACTAGTGAGGACAGGAATAAGACAAGCTGGCTGCCTACTATCGCCAATGATTTTCCTGATTGCAGTAGACTGGATAATGCGACAAACAGCGGGCAATCAGGAAACACGCATAAAATGGATTCACACAAAAAACTTGGAGGATCTGGACTTCGCCGATGATATATTTGTGTCTGATTTCCCAAAAACTGGAAGATATGCAAGCGAAAGCAACAATTTGACAGAAGAAGCATCCAGAGAAGAAAGGACATAGAGAAAACAGAGGTAATGAAGATTCATGGACAAGAACAACAACAACAGACAACAATCAGCATAAATGGAAGGAACCTGAAAGAAACAACCTCTTTTACCTACCAACCTGGAAGCATCGTTTCAACTACAGGCGGACGGAACTGACGAGGATATCAAAGCGAGACAAGCTTCAACTACTCTTAAGTCTGTGTGGAGGTCAATAGCACTGCTCAGAATCAAAAATAAGATCCGGATTTTCAACTCCAATGTGAAGTCAGTGCTGCTTAACATACGGATCAGAGACTTGGCCAACGCGTCATAAAAAGCGTCTCAAACAAACTACAGACCTTCATTAACAGTTGTCTTCGCTCAATACTACTCAAGATCAGATGGCCGGCCAGAAAAGATCAGCAACAGAGAGGGATCTCTGGGAGCAAACCAGCCAATCAAGAACCGATTATACAAGAAATAGGCAGGAAGAAATGGAGGTGGATTGGCTGGCCATACTCTGAGGAAACCATCAAGTGACATCACTAGACAAGCCATCTCTCGAGTGGAACCCGAAAGGGAAGCGGCGAGTTGGTCGTCAGTGCAAGGATGACTTGGAGGAGGTCATGTGAAGAGGAGATGAAAACGTGTGGGCAGACTTGGAGCCAGGTGAAGACTCTAGCAGAGAACCGACCGCAATGGAGACGCACGGCTGAAGCCCTATGTTCCTCTAGGAATTAAAGGAAACAATAATAATAATATAAATAAACAATCTATCTCTTTTAGTTTCGTTTAACACTTCCCCCACCTCCCAACACGACAGCGGTATCCGTCACATATTACAACCACCTTTCTTTTCTTCTTAGAGAAATAATAAAAAACACAAATTGTCTTGAAAAAAGGCTAAACATCAGCATGCAGACACACACACACGCGCGCGCAAAATCGTTATACTATACTATACTTCACTACTCACTTACTTCATATTTCGACGATTTTTCATATAAATATTATCACGAAACATATTACCGAAGTCATGATGGATATACAGTTTAGAGGATTGTCGAGTAGGGGATATTTCTGTTATGGCCATAGACATACTTGCATCGCCAACACATTCAGAATATAAATTGTATCTATTTATACCCTTTAAGGGCTCTTCAGCCAACTGACTGATCTATAATTAATAATAATAAAAATATGAAAATAGTAATTGACAATAATAGTAATATATATAGAGAGTAACTATAATTAAAGAAACAATGAGACTGAGTAGTCAGTGAGTTTTCAAAGTAGAATCTTTCACAAAAGTTTAGAATTTAAACAGCGTCACACTTCATTTCAACTATACATACATTCAAGTAGTCGTGACCAGTGAGGTCCAATTAGATGTCACGTGTGTGGATGGATGTCCCATCAATGACAATGGTTGGGGTCGCGCTAAATCACGAATTGGTAGAAGTTAGAATTCATGAGCCATTGAATCGGGTCCCAGTGGCTGAATGGTATACGAGCTAGCTTGCCTTGTAACCGGAAGGTCCTGGGTTCGAATCCCAGTGGGTGCGTACTGCCGATGATTCCCAAACTAGGATGAAACAGCAGCTGTCCAATGCTCCCTGGTTTTCAATGGTTCTCTAACTGATATCAGTCCGTGATCAACTCGTAAGAGAATACTAAATAGAAATTCGAAGAAACTACACTAAACGGAGATGTGTTCAAGATCCACATGAAGAATAATAACGATCTCATGAATATTAGAGATTATTACAAAGGCTGAATGAATCCGTGGAGTATTGCGAACTACTTCACGTCATGTCAACACCGATCTCCAGTCATTTTGATTTTTAGCACCCCTCCCCATGGCTGCAATCAGCCAATGGCAAAAGTAAAGAACAGATATCACAGTCAAATGACCTTGAGCTAGCCAATCATATTCTTGCAGATGAAATGTGGCATTTTAGTATTAAAGGTATATATATATATGTATATATATGAGTTATACAGTCCATAAGCCTCCAATATACTGCAAAAACAGGTCCAAATTGTATCATTCTAATCTGTTTCTTGATAGACCAAAAATCCCTCAACAGAATTTGTATGAGTAACAGTTTCCCGAGCTACTGATTCTGATGAATGATTGACTTTACGCTCAACATTTCAAATGGATGGTGCCCATAATCTTTGTTGAAAGTTCCACCCTAACCACAACTTTAACTCGACTCTAACTCTGCATTTAACCTCAAACGTAACCCTAACTCTAACTCTAAATCAGGGTGTAACTTACAACAAAGATTATGAAAATCATCGATTTGTAATGTTGAGCGATCTGATTGGTTGATTTAAGGTCATTTAGCCGTAGTAACTATCCTTTACTGTTTCCCAGAGAGTGTGTATGCTAACCGGGACTCAAGACTCGGGGCCCATGTGCATGGTTGGCGATCATTCATTCTACTAGTGAACCACAGACTACGCACCCAAGAGTAATGGTAGCCATCACAAAATCAATTACTAAGTGTTAAATCACGAAAAATACCCATTTATTCATAAGTAAAAGCACAGTTTTTTTGTTCAGCGAAGAAATTTCTTTTCAACGACTTCATTTTCAAGCTGTACAGTCGTATTTATATTACAGAAAAAAGGTTATTAAGTGGCACTAAATAACTGCTCAGTCAATATACATATATATGTGATAAGAATAACGATAATTAAAATGTTATAAGGGGTAGAATTGAAGTGGATAAATAACAAGCCAGCTGTCTTTGATTATAGATGTCTACGTCCTATCTCCCGTGTTAGTTTGCAGGGATTTGACCGATTTCATCAAGTCAGATAACGAGCTGACCTCCGTTAGAAAATCGTTGGATATCGGCAGGAACTCTGTGACAGCGCGCACCCATGACCCTACCCACCAGCAAAGACCGAACCCAGAAACCCTTGATGTTATGAAGCCAGCTCGTGTACCATCATCTCTAGCTACTAAGGAGGAATCCAATGACTCGTGAATGTAAACTTCTGACAATTTGCGGTGTCCTTACATCAACCAACTTGGTGGTGGTGGTGGTGGACCGTAGTTAGTTACAACTTCTCACTAGAACATTCCAGGCAACTTGTAAAATCAATTACTGTTGAGTATTTGATTGAGTGCATTCTCCATGATAAATTTGATTGATGCATTAAAAGAAAATTCTTTACTAGATAAGATGAATTCATTTCATATTTCATGTTGAAAGGGGAGGTGCGATGGGGGTGGGAACATGTCAGTTGCAATATGACCTCATCACGAAACAGGAGACACATATTTCACACATATTTAAGAAACTTCAAATATAGCCATCATCATCATCACCACCGAAATCTAGATATTTCGCTGTCGACTAAAGGGCGTGTGTACTGTTCACCAGTTCTCTCTGAGCTCCTCCTTTATGTTTGTGAGACACGGCCAATAATAGTGGAAGATATGAAAAAGCCAGCTAGCTGTCTTTGATTATACATGTCTACGTTCTATCTCCCGTGTTAGGTTGTATAATGGAGCGAGTAATACTCAGGTTAGGCGTCAAGTGATAGGTGAGGAAGGAAAATCAATCAACAAGGTTGTGCACAGTGACACCGAGATTGACATGGTTACGCACATGCCTAGCCATCGATCGTCTTCCTCGACCACAAATGTTACCTGATATAGGATGGATCAGGTTGGAAACGAGCTAGTTAGTGGTGATCGAAACAAAACATGGTGTGATCAGTCAATGAAATTCACAACAGTTGTAGTTTAAGGCAGCCAGTCATATAGGGAGATAGATGTAGACTTCCTGACTGACTGGTTTGCGTCCTCGGGATGGTAAAAACCAATGACGGTGGCTGGAGACAATTGGTGATATGGTTCAAAATCGTTGTGAATTGCTGGCACAGGTGCATCCACTCTTTGTGATTTATCATATATAATAAAATTCTAGTGTTCTTCCATATATAACTATTCTTTTTGCCTTATATTTCTGTTTATTATCTCTCTTTACTCTCTTCTCTTGCTTTGTGTGTGTTACATGGAGGGAGTGTGGCAACTCGAACTTTGGCACTTCTGTGCAAAGTTTTACGTTGAAAGCAGTCAGTCAACTAAAACAAACATCCCTGTCTTGAAGCCTAACGACGATCTCAGGATTCGATTTGTCCTGTGTTGCGTATTGCTGAAGAGTGATCACATTTCCATGGTGATTCATAATTCTTATTACTTGTTTTTTTTCCTGATGAAATCTACTCTAAAATGTCATTTTTAAATCGCTTCGAAGACCACCTATCAACACAAGATTTCAATGCGATTGATTATACTATTCAGCAGAAGAGATTGAAGAGGCGAACGAGTAGTGTAGATGAATGACACTCTGTTAGGCTTTCAACCAGACTAACTTGGGTGGACAACAGTACATTTATTAAAAAAATAAGTCGTGACCAGGAGGGTGCAGCAGGTCGGGTGTGAGGACAAATGCTCGCCGAAGACATTGGGTAGCGGTTGCGCTATAGCGTGAATTGGCAGAAGCTAGAATTCATTGGCCATTGGATCAGGTCCCAATGGCTTAATGGTATACAAGCCAGCTCGCCTTCTAACCAGAAGGTTCTGGGTTCGAACTCCGGTGGGTGCGTACAGGTGAGGAGTCCCAAACTACGATGAAACAGCTGTCCAGTACTCCCAGGTTTTCCGATGGTTCTCTAACCAATGTCAGCTCATGATGAAATCCTGTAACCAATCAACTAAATCCCTACAAACCAATACTTGAATAAAAAAATAATGTTCAAAACAGTGTAAAAAGGTATTAAACACAACATGGAAGAATAACACTAAGTTTGGTAAGTATTCATTCAAAATGGTTCTCCTTTTCGTATTAGAATGTAGGTGCCTATTTCAACCTGAGAGTTAGTGTTAGTTTACACTTTCCAGTTCAAAATCCTGAACAGCGTTCAATAGTTCCTAGTGGAATATAAGTGCTTCTCACAGGCACATAGCCATTTTTCACTCTATTCTCTGATGTCTTTTTCGCCTGCCTCTCCATGATTGCCAACAAACTTTAATATCCTCCTGCACACAGGATCTCTCCTTCAATGTCATGCTCAGACCAATGCCCTATTTCTCTTTTCCTATTCACGTTCCACTCGCGAGATGACCTGGGGTGTGCGATGTCATTCAGCCGTTCTCTAGTTTTCTTTGTTCTCTCCTATTTGTCGTCCTTGCGGTAGTAGAAGTTTCCAGATGTCCGACTGGACAGGTATTGAATCATTCCTGTTACACGTATTTGCAGTTGATTCGATAAACAAAGCTTCCGCTGTCATCAATCTTTCCCTCCACTCCGTTATATCAGTTAGATTTTAGAACTATCATCTTATCCCATCCTATTGTATGGTTGTGTGTAATTGCATGTAGTGAGTGCCATAGCTGAACTATTCTCTAGATTTCTTATCTTATTCGGGTCAACTAATCTAGATTTTGCTAGGATTTTCTGCTCGGTTAGTCTGACTGCCCCTGTCCTACTAGTTTGACCTATGCATTTGACCTGACAATCATTCCAGTAAGGGTATTAGATAAACTAAGTTGTTTTGTGTGATGGGCTCCACAGGATCCTTTAATGACGACATGCATGTCAAACATGTGCAAGATAATGACGACACCAACAATAAGGAATCTAAATCATCAATAGTAATTCTATACAAAGAAGGAACTTCAGAAACCTTACACAGAATTTTTAACAAGGCAGGAATAAAAGTGGCTGGCATTCAAACTACCCACAAACTTAATTAGAAACAAGCTTTGTCGGTTGAAGGATCAATCCTCTGAAGCCTTTAAAACAAAACAATTTAGTTTAACTAACGCCCTGACTACAATGACTGTCAGGTCAAATACATAGGTCAAAGTATAATAACAGGTGCAGTCAGATTAACCGAGCATAAAAACCTAACAAAATCTATATTGGTTGACCCGAATGAGATAAGAAATCTAGAGAATAGTTCAGCTATACCACTCACCACATGCAATTACACACAACCATACAGAATAGAATGGGATAAGATGACAGTTTCAAAATCTAATGTAACAGGGTAAATGGAGGGAGAGATTGACAACGGAAGCCTTTTTTTATCGAATCAACTGCAAATACGTGTAATAGGAATGATTCAATACTTATCCACCCTGAAATATGGAAAATTCGACTACCTCAACGACGACAAATAGGAGAGAACAAAGAAAACTAGAGAACTCCAGTTTCGAAGTCGTGTGATTATAATTGATGAAATGATTATGAGCCACAATAGATTGTGTTCGACACTTTGTCATTCAGTAAATAATACTGTTTCCCTCACTGTGTGATACATCTAAGAAACAAACTAATATGGAATTACGTAGTACCACAATGCCCAAGTTTTACACACATACATATTAAACATGTTCTTGGCTGATTCGGTTCCGGAGCTTCTTGTTAATTGTCCTTTCTGGTCAGTCGGCCATCTAACCTTCACAGTCTGGAGCAAGCGAAGGCAGTTGTCTGTAGCAGACTGTTTTGGAAATGCTTTTCGTGGTGCATCCCCTGAGGGATACTTTCAGTGCTCTATTCTGTTTACGTTTTGTGAGTTAAATACCCAAAAAACCTGTTTTTGAATGGAACTCCTTCTTTCATGTGAACCGGACTGTAAGGTGGCAGCTGATGAAAAATTTAGAATTTCTTCCAAATTCTCTTTATTATCGGAGATAATAAAAGTATCATCCGCATATCTACTGTAAAATCCACAGGTGTCAATCATTTTCGAGTTTCGAATTGAATAAATCTGAAAGAAACGGGACTTGTGGTTAACCCATAACTATACCATTCTTTTGGCTAAATATTTCATTGCTGATATAGGTTTGGAGATTTAGAGTGCATCTTAAAAGGAGTTCCTTTAAATAGTGAGTAGGTATTCTAATGTTTAATCCCTCTGAATCGATGTGGTCACATGTGTAGTAGGATGTTTTGATTATTGGGACGTTCGTAAATAATAAGACCAAATCTAGTGAAACATGATCTGATTAGAAATGCTGACGTTTTCAGTGGAATTAACAAAGTCTTCTGATTGTTTCCAGAAAGCTTACAAACCATTAGGCGATGCGATGACAAGTTGAATTCGTTACATTAAGAATAAGTAGAAGAGGCATGCCTTTCTTCTTCTGTACTTTCGGCACTCCACACTGTTGGGGTCTATTTAAACCAGGCGGTGTCAGAGATTTAGACATTTCAAAGTTAGTTAATGATTCAGTCTTCGGTGTTTGGAGGATGTCAGTCAACTTTTGTTTGGTTCGATCAGTCATATCCTCTTCACTCATCAGTTTCATAAATTTGGATTCGTCGGATAGGATGATTAACATTTTACTGACTTAGCCGTCACGATTTATGAGTACAACTCCTTGATAAGGACGGAACAACATAAACTCTCTATGGTTGATCAACTCTTTCAGCTCTATATAATGTTTCTTGGTTAATACAGACTGGCTGTTTTGTTTGACATTTATAAACTTGTGACAGATCTCAAAGACTTCTGATATGAATTGTTGTTGTAAGCCATAACTTTGATTGATCAGGTTTTTGAACTGAACCTTGGTTTGAATATTTGATGTTTTGGTGCAAAACTTTGAACCCTCAGATTCTCTGAACTATTTTGAAGCACCGACTTGCCTTGAAGATATTGAAAATCTTGTTCCTGATGCTGACTGCTGTGGATCCTACAAGCTGCTTTCAGGGTAGTGAAGGTCTGCTTTCTCATGAAGCACTATTGTACCCTTTTTCTAAATAGATTGTTACTCACGCAAACTCTGATGGCTGGCTGGTTGGCTGGCATCAACATAGAACTTTGCATAGAAGTTCGAGTTGTCATACTTCATGAAGCAAACCAAGGAAGAAAAAAGAGATTCAGAAGAACGACAATAAGAAGAAATGTTAGAAAGAAAGAATAGAAACGTAGAAAAAACAATAAGGTGTCGTGGATATGGCAGATCACAGACAGTGAATGCATTTGTGCCAACCATTGACAACGATGATTTTGAACCATATCACCAATTGTCTCCAGCCACCGTCATTGGTTTTTACCATCCCGAGGACCCAAACCAGTCAGGTCAGGAAGTCTACATATATTTCCCTATGTGACTGGCTGCCCTAAACTACAACTGTTGTGAATTTCATTGACTGATGACGCCATGTTTCGTTTCGATCACCACTAACTAGCTCGTTTCCAACCTGATCCATCCTATATCAAGTAACATAGCCGGTCGAGGAAGACGATCGATGGCTAGGCATATGTGTAACCATCTCAATCGGTGTCACTGCGCCCAACCTTGTTGATTGATTTTCATTCCTCACCTATCACTTGACGCCTAACCTGAGTATTACTCGCTCCATTATACCACCTAACACGGGAGACGTAACGTAGACATGTATTATCAAAGACAGCTGGCTGGCTGTTTCATATCTTTTACTATCATTGGTCATGTCTCACAGATATAAAGGAGGAGCTCAGAGCGAACTGGTGAGTATTGCACACGTCCTTTGATTGGTGGCTTGAAGGCCACTTTTGCCCTGATTCAATTGGTATACTATTTGCTTTAACTTAGATATTATTTAATGAATAATTAAAAATAACTTACGATACGTTGACATTTTTCAGACTTATTGTCAGTGAATATACACGAGGTTGAGCATTGGTCACTACAGCATTTAGCTAGTAGATCATTCCATGAGCTAAGGAAGAGAAGGATGGATGAAACAAAGAGATAAAATTATAATAAATTTGAAAATTCGAGAAATTCTAAACAAAATTAGTGGTAACCAGAGTGTAACATATGCCATGGCGTGTCTACTGACTGAAGTCTGTCAAGACATGTTCGACACAGGGGGTTATCAGGAAAGTGTGCCCTCTGAATTGATACTAAATGGTCGGAGCCAAACTGCAAGAATCCCTCGACCTAGGTTTGTTGCTTTCGGCCGCTAGTCAGAACGGCGTATGAACAACCTCAAGGAGGCTGATGTTCCATCTGAGTTTCGAACCTACAATACTGACAGCAATCACGTGACCGACGTCAGACAGGACTTCCTGCTCATTTCCCCCAAGCATCTTACATCAACACAGAGTGCAACGCTATAAGCAGTCACTAATCTTGGTGGCCACATTAAGCCAGCATCAGCACCGAGGAAAAGCTATTTGATATTAGTTACTGCCTAATGTGACCCCTACAGGACGTCTGCCATGAGCCTAGATGGTGTAATCGTAACGTCCCTGACTGTAGCACTGAGTAATACAGGTTGAAACCTCATGGTGACGGGGGTGCATTGGTCAGAATCAGTTCCGCCAAGGTTTCAGATATGTCTTGTTGACTAGTACCAATAATATCAAGTAAAGAAGACAGTATTTCTCTGGAACTAGACAACTCAATAAAGTACAAAGCACATTTATGAATTACACTATGGATCGTGCTCACATCATGTAACACCTTATTAATCAATTTAAGTAGTAGTCTGCTTATGGATAGATCCAGATTGATGGGAAGCCACCAAAAACTGAAATCAACATTCGAAGTCAATGGTTGCAGAGGCAGAAGTGTACACTCCCCCAAATGAGGATTTAGTTTACGTCGTGGACATGAAATAACTCCATTGGACGGCTTGTTCAACCTCGGGCTAATTGCCAACCAATCAGAACAGGGATTTTTTCCTGACTTAACCGAACTTTGATGTAATTAAAGTCAACTCCAGACTCTCTTATCTCCTGCCGTTAGGAGCTTACACAGGAAAGAATTCGTAAGTCATTTGATTCTGAGTTCATTACCCTATAACTACGCTGCTATACAAAGAAGGAACCTCAGAAACCTTACACAGAACTTTTAACAAGGCAGGAATAAAAGTGGCTGGCATTCAAACTGCCCACAAACTCAATTAGAAACAAGCTTTGTCGATTAAAGGATCAATCTTATGGAAAAATAGTGATTGTAATGATCAACTTCGTGTTTGAAAATGATGGGGGAGATCTTCTGTTCTGGGTGGATGATAATGTTGTGATTTGTAGATCAGGCCGATGATATCATTGTGTAGTTCTGTTTTGTGTGACAACTGGTTGGACTGTTTGACATGCTCTCTCAACGTCTCCTTCTAGACGAAATCTTCAGCAAAGACTGCCATATGAAGTGAACTTATATTGGAGATTCTCTGTCACTGTGTAGCTAGGTGACTCCGTGAGTTCACTCATCACTGCCAACACTGACACCGTCATGCATTCCATTATGGGTAAATTTTGTTTTGATAAAGTCTCACAGTGTTATACAGTAATGTTTACTGATGACGTTTCGAGCACAATTTATTGCTCATAATCATATCAAGGTAATCACACGACTTCCTAAATTCATTCATATAGTTCCGTTGTTTTTCACTTGATTTGACTGGTAGTAACATCTTCCATATTTCAGGTATGAGTGATAAATCATTCCTATTTCATGTGTTGGGTGTAGATTCACTCGATGAACAAGGATTCAGTAATCAACCTCTCTCGCTCTCCACCTACCTAGATTACTTTTTAGAATTTTAACCCTCTCCCACCCACCATATTGTGTGGTTGTGTGTTATTGCATGCACTGCAATCGCTGAGCTTTTTTCTAAATTACTGATCTGTCTTTGGGTCAACCATTCTTACCTTAGCTAAATTCTTATGTTCTGACAATCTGACTACCCCTGACCTACAAGTTTGGCCTATGCAGTTGACCTCACAGTCATTGCAGGGTATTTTGTGAATTACATGATTTTGTCTAATTGGGTCAGCTGGGTCCTTTAACCTACAGAGCTTGTCCCTGAGTGAGTTTGTAGGTTTAAATGCCACCCTAATTCCTGCTTTATTCAGAATCCTACGTAGGGTCTCAGATGTCCCCTCTTTATACGGTAAAACTACTGTAGATGCCTTATATTCTCCCTTATTTATGTTATTATTACTAATTTCACAATTCTTTTTATTTTTATTTTGGCCTTTTTCAATCTTCCTAATGAATTTTAAAAGATAGTTATTTAACACCAACGCCTCTTCTATCTGTTTTGTTTCATCATTTAGGTCTTTTTTTGTGCTACTTAGTGCCATTGCTTGGTTTGTTAAACACTTAACTAAGCCTGCCTTAACAGTTAAAGGATGAGATGAATTAAAGTCTAAATATCTATTAGAATGCGTTGGTTTTCTATAAACACTAGTGTGTAGTTTGCCTTCTTCTATCCGTTTTATTTTACAATCTAACATAGGTAATTCTCTTTGCTCATTTTCGGCTTCAAATGTGAATTTTATTCCCTCCACTAGTGAGTTTATGTGTGCCAAGTGAAAAACAATGGAACTATATAAATGGATTTAGGAAGTCATGTGAGTACCTTGATATGATTATAAGCAGAATTAAATTGTGGTCGAAACGTCATCAGTAAACATTACTGTATAACACTGTGAGACTTTATCAAAACAAAATTTACCCAAAATGGAATTACACTCTACCACATTGCACAAGTTTTATTCTTAAATCAATGACCCCGTCATGTATGCAATGCTGAGGTCCGTGGTGTGTGCTCCAAAATAGTGATGATCGTCTTCCGATAAATGGTTTCATCTCAGGATTTGTTCGGCGAATGTTATTCCAACAGCTTCTATATTGTTCATTCTTTCCTAGCCCTGGCACTCAACCAAAATATTCAGAAAGCTGGTCAGTCCATGATTTAGAATAATGGGATAAACAATAGTTGTGTCATAGGTTTTCATTTATCGGTGCATCACAACTCCCTGGATCGGGTCGTCTCAATCTGAGACTCGAAATGTCATAGGATTTACTTTAGAGTCCCAATCCCACACTTTCTCAAAGTAAAATCAGATTTTTAAAAACCCTCCTTAGACACTATTCACAAGTGTTCTCACCCATTTTTCAATCATTCTACTTCTTCTCCACGTATTCAGATTGTGTGTGATTCATTACCTCCCCCCCTCTGGTACTCATATTGGTATCATGTTTCTGCTGTCGGAATACAAGCCGTAGGAAGTTTATCAAAAGGTTAAAACATTTTCTAACAGAATATGGTATAAAAAAACTCAAAGCAGAAATGCAAACATCGACGATAAGCATATTTTAGAGACTTAATTCGCCAATTTAAGAAAGAAATTGACGAATTCACTCAAGAATCATGATATACCTTTCTTTCACTGATGATATGTGTCAACATGTGAAAAGACGACGAATGCGTGGGTGACGACCTCCGTTAAACACATATTATAGAAACGATTAGTATAAAGAGTTCAAGTAACAATGGGTATATCATGAACCCTCAAATATTATACTATTACTATTACTTTAGTATTCCAAGCAAAATACTAAGCCGAATCATCCTGGAGAGAATCAAACAAGCCACAGATGAAAAACTTCGACCGGAACAGGCTGGATTCAGGAGAAACAAGTCATGTATTGATCAAGTCGCCACATTATGGATCATCATTGAACAAAGCTTGGAATGGCAGTCACCTCTCTATCTCAACTTCATCGACTTTGAAAAGGCCTTCGACAGCGTCGATCGAGAGGTGCTTCGGCAACTACTTCGCTACTACAGGGTCCCACCGACAATTATACATCTCATCCAACAGCTGTACGACAATGCTGCATGCCAAGTAATCCACAACAAGAAACTTACGGAATCCTTCGAAGTGAGGACAGGAGTAGGAAAAGCTGGCTGCCTACTATCGCCAATGATTTTCCTGATTGCAGTAGACTGGATAATGTGACAAACAGTGGGCTCTGAGAAAATAGGCATAAAATGGACTAACACAAAAAAGAACTTGGAGGATCTGGACTTCACCGATGATATATGTCTGATTTCTCACAAACTCGAAGATATGCAAGTGAAAAGCAACAAGTTGACGATAGAAGAAGCATCCAGAGAAGATAGGACATCAGGTGAACATAGAGAAAACAGAGGTCATGAAGATTCCTGGGCAACACAATCAACAGCAACAACAACAACAGACAACAATCAGCATAAATGAGAGGAACCTGAAAGAAACAACCTCTTTTACCTACCAACCTGGAAGCATCGTTTCAACTACAGGCGGACAGAACTGACGAGGATATCAAAGCAAGAATCGGAAAAGCAAGGTAAGTAAGCTTTCATTTCTCTCAAGTCTGTGTGGAGGTCAACAGCACTCAGCATCAAAAAATAAGATCCGGATTTTCAACTCCAATGTGAAGTGAGTCAGTGCTACTATACGGATCAGAAACTTGGCCAGCGCGTCATAAAGAGCATCTCAAACAAACTACAGAACTTCATTAACAGTTGTCTTCGCTCAATCTATACCACTCAAGATCAAATGGCCGGCCAGAAAAGATCAGAAACAGGGATCTCTGGCAGTGAGCGAACCAACACTGCAGGAACCGATTGTGAAACAAATAGGCAGGAAGAAATGGAGATGGATTGGCTGGCCATACTCTGAGGAAACCGACCATCAAGTGACATCACTAGACAAGCCATTGCTCCAGTGGAACCCGAAAGGGAAGTGGCGGCGAGTTGGTCGTCAATGCAAGAGTGACTTCGAGGAGGTCATGTGAAGAGGAGATGAAAACGTGTGGGCAGACTTGGAGCCAGGTGAAGACTGTAGCAGAGAACCGAACGCAATGGAGAGGCATGGCTGAAGCCCTATGTTCCTCTAGGAATTAAAGGAAACAATAATAATATAGTAATAATACAATTACCTTTATTATGATTATTACTAGTATTATTATTAGTGTTATTAGTAGTAGACACCAATTTACGTCAATGATTACGGCCTGAATCGGATTCATGGTAAAAAATAAGAACAAAAAATAACTCACCAACCAATCGCAGAAGCCTTAGCATGTGCAAATACGATTCGCAGACACATGGTCTGACCTTCAAAGAAATGGCTTCAACGAGATGACAGAATAACCTTCGGTAGGAAAACAACCAATCGGAAGACGTTGTTCCTCCGCTAACAATAACCCTAATAATAATGTACATATAAATCTATAAATATGCGTTGATTTTCCCAATAAACGATCTGTTGCGTGGCCCTTGCCTTCTGTCGTTGCAGTAGTAGTATCATTAGTATTATTATTGTTACTATCATTATTATTAATAGTAGCATTATTATTAGTGTTAATGTTATTATGAATAGTAGTATAATTATTATTATGATTCCCTCTTACCTTACACCGATTAGACCATGATATCTGATAAAATATAAGAAGGAGTTATCATTCAATTTATAACTTGTCAATCCATTACCAACTGCAATACCCTAAAATAAAGGAGAGGAGAAAAAAGAAATTAGAGGAGGTAAACGTTAGTGGGGCTTTATAATGACAAAAAATTATGTGACTGACTGACTTTCAGCATTACACTTTGCACAGAAGTGAACACTGTTTAATTTATCACACTTAATGTAACACAACACACATAGGTAAAGAGAGAAAGAAATGAACTCATTTCTGACCAAGAACTCGAACTTAGGAAGAAAGTGCCACTTGAGGACATAATTCTGGGAGTACAGCTATGCCTGACTTCTACAGTATTTAAATTCCATGGGGGAAATGTACAAACAAACTGAGGGAGTTGCCATAGGGTCATCAATATCTCCAGTTGTAGCAGATATATACATGGATAGGTGGGAAAACATAGCGATTGAAACGTTCAGCCCCATTTCAAAAGTATGGTGGAGGTATGAAGATGACACATTCACTGTACTTAGAACACTGGTTGGCTGGCTGAATTCAACATAGAACTTGGCACCGAAGTGCAGCAGTTCCAGTTGCCACGTTCCAAATACCACACAAAGGTACACACAAGAAGATGAGTGAAGAGAATCAATAGAGTTTCGACAAGTATAAGAGTGAAACAGAATGAGTAATGGTAGAAAGGAATATGAAGGATTACAGAGACTGAATACATCTGCGTAAGCCATTGACAACGATTTTGAGCCATGTCACCTATTGTCTCCAGCCATTGATTCTTAGAGTCCCGAGGGCGGGCCCCAACCCGGAAGGCTGCATCTGCCTACCTGACTCAGTTTAACTGTCAAGGATTTCATGGATTGATGAGGCCATGTTTTTGTTTGGCCACCACTTACTCTTTTCCAACCTGCACCTGCCTATATCAGCTAGTAATGCCCGTCGGGAGGGGGAGGCGATGGTTAGGCATGGGCAGCACGTGACCTAGCCATCTCAATCTATGTAACTTTATAGCCTCTTCGATTGAGGCTATAGGTAGATCTTCCAAACACATTAACTCAAAGGTGGAGGCAATTCAATTCACTTATGAATTGGAAAGTCAGAAAGGGAAACTTCCAATGTTAGATTGTAGAGTAAAAAAAGGAAAGAAGATGGGAAGTTAAACACACTCGAGTGTGTGTTTACAGGAAACCAACACATTCAAACACATATCTGGACTTCCGATCATCCCATCCCACGTCAGTGAAAATAAAATTGGTGAAATGTGGAAGTAATAGAGCTCAAAACTATTTAGTACCAAGGAAAATCTAAGACAGGAAGTGAAGCATATAAGAGAAGCCTTGAAACTTAATAATTACCCCGATAAATTAGTCAGAAAGTATGTAGGGAAATGTAAAATTAAAAATAAAATAAATAATTATAGTAGTGATAGTGATAATAATAATTATTATTATTGTAATAATAATAGTAATACTAATGACGACATGCATGTCAAACATGTCCAAGATAATGACAACACCAACAATAAGGAATCTAAATCATCAGTAGTAATTCCATACAAAGAAGGAACCTCGGAAGCCTTATGCAGAATTCTTGACAAGGCATGAATAAAAGTGGTATGCAAACCCAACAGGGAAGGATCTCTGGGAGCGAACCAACCAATCAGGAACCGATTGTGCAACAAATAAGCAGGAAGAAATGCAGGTGGATTGGAGGCCATATACTCTGAGAAAACAAACCATCAAGTGACATCACACACCAGTCCATCGGTCGAGTGGAACCCGAACGGGAATCGGCGAGTTGGTCGTCACTGCGAGAGTGGAGTGACATGGAGGAGGTCATGTGAAGAGGAGATAGAAGCATATGGGCAGACGTGGAGCCATGTGATGGAAACGCTGGCAGAGAACCGAACGCCAACGAATGGGGACGTGCGGCTGAAGCCCTATGTTCCTCTAGGGACTAAAGGAAGTAATAATAATAAATAGTAATAATATGAACTAATCAGTAGAATATAATCCCTTCATATGAAAAGGATTCAAAAGTTAAAAAGAAAAAGAAAATAAATCAAAATTTCAAACAAATAACAAAAACATACCGCAAGTTTAAATTTTGATGAATTTCTAAGTAATAGTAGTGCTAGTGTAGGCACATAAACACCACCATAACCTTCACCAGTGATATACAGTTTGCGACCTTCATATTCTGGAAATTTCTCTAAGAAATGCAGCAGGGCATGGAGATTATTTAATGCCGTCTATTACGAAGAGTGGAAGTAGAGAAAAAATAAGAAGTGGAGAAATACAAATTAATATAGATCCTTCTAATAATAATAATAATAATAGTAATAATAACAGTAACAATTTTAATAATAACAATAATAATATTAAAACACAGGTCTTTTCCTTTTTCACTACATAAAACACAATAAGTATCTGCACCGAAGATAGTGTGGTGAGAGCTGGCTGCCAGCCGAAATTAGAAGACAGTAATTTACGTCAATGTTTACGTCCTCAATATTGGTCGTGAGAAAAATATGAACAAAGACTGATTCAACAACCAACCACAGCAGACTTTGCGTAGGCGGATACAATCATCACATAGATGATCTGACATTCAAGAAACAGCCGCAAAGAGATGACAGAATAACTTTCAGCAAGAAAACAACCAATCACAAGACTGTGTTTTTCTGCTAACAATAATCTATAATAATGTATACGAAAAGCTATAAATATGTGTTGATTTCCTTAATAAACGATCTGTTGCCTGGCCCTTGTCTTCTGTCGTTACAATAGGACTAGACACATTACACTAGTTACTGACTCGTGTCCTGTAGGACTTACAGGAGGTCAATCGCGAGCCTGAATGTCTCAGTGGTAACGTCTCTGACTACCGGCAGCACTGAGAGACGCCAGTTCGAGTCCCAGAAGGGACATGAGTTCCTTCGAGGTAGTTGCAGATATGCCTTGCTTACTGGTGAGTGACAACTAGCACGAAACCTAGGTCAGGCAAGGCTTCCTATGGCCGATTGTCTCCAACTATCTAATACCAACAATTCACAGTGCACCGTGATGGCGAGCCACCTAGCATGGTGGCCACATTGCAAACTTGACTGATAGAATTCAGTCTGCACCGAAGATAGGACTAGACACATTACACTAGTTACAAAAAGTATCTATTATTTTAGGACCTTTACTTATTAAAAAGGTTTTCTTGTATTTCCCAATAAATGAAAAACAGAACGATATTGTTGCCTTTACTGACGTTTCACTATTTAATGCCTCTAATAACTTTATCAAAGTATTATTATTAAACCAGAATTTACAAAATCCACTCAGCTTATATAAATAACAACTGAATCATCGTTCCGCAGTATGGGGTGATCTTTCGTTGTCAAATTGGCCAATTGGTAAAGATAACAAAACCGGGTGTAGATTGTTGGATTTGATAAGTGTGTAAAATTATAAAAACAGTGTGTGTGATGCGATATACATCGGACAAACCTCACGAGAAATCAAAATCAGAAGAAATGAACACCATAGAGCCGCCTCTGTTCAACCACCGAGAAATCCAATTGAACTAAAAAAGCTTGAAAAGCCATCAGCAAGCCATAGGTCTACACGCTACGCTTTAGAATCAGGTCACAAAATTGATTTCGACAATATTGAAATCACCATCCAGAAAAATTTCAGAAATCAAATAGAAAGTCTCATATCATCAGGAGCACTTCATATCAAGTGGAATCCAAATTGTCTGGTGAATAGGAATGATGGACTAAAACAGAATATGACCTGGTTACAACACCCACCTCCTCATCCATAGAATGAGAAAATCAACACGAATGTGATGAGCAGTTTCACGATGTAAACACACGCTGCTTTTATAATTTCAAACACTTATCAAATCCAACAATCTACAACTGGTTTCCTTATCTTTACCAATTGACCAATTTGACAACGTAAAAATGATCCCATGCTGAGGAACGATGATTAAGTTGTTATATATATATATATATATATATATATATATATATATAAGCTGAGTGGATTTTGTAAATTCTGGTTTAATAATACTACTTTGATAAAGCTATTAACATTGAATAGCGAAACGTCAGTAAAAAAAGCAATATCGTTTTGTTTTTCATTCATTGGGAAATACAAAAAAACCTTTATTATAATGGATGTCATATACCCAATGCCCAAATTCCTTTGAAACTGTTAAAAGTGAACTTGGTTTGGACACACATAACCTTTACTTATTACTTTCAAGGCTCACAGTATTTGTTGTACACTAATATTTATTGATGACCACGTTTCGACCACAATTTATCATTGCTACTCATAATCATATCAACGCAGTACTCACACACAGCTTTCTTGCTTCGTTTATATACATGAGTAAAAATTGATTGATTAAACATTTGAACGAAAAATCAATATAAGACATGCGTGAAACAATAGGATGGGAAATAAGACGAGTATTTTTAGTCAATAAGATGTTTTTTTATGGTAAAATAAATAAGCTTGTTAGAATGTTATAATGTGAATTGAACTGAAATACATTTTAACATTGTTTATTATCCTCTGATTTGACCGGTAATAATATCTTCCATGGCTTATAAGGCAAGGCATCTACAGTTCTACCATATAAAGCGGGGACATCCGAGACCCTACGTAGGATTCTTAATAAAGCAGGAATTAGGGTGGTGGCATTCAAACGTACAAACTCACTTAGGTAGGACAAGCTCTGTGGGTTAAAGGACCCCGTTTGTTGAACCAATTAGACAAAATTATATAATTTACAAGACACCTTGTATTGACTGTGAGTTAAGTCAACCACATAGGTCAGTCAAACTAGTAGATCGGGGGTAGTCAGATTGTCGGAACATCAGAAGTTACCTAAGGTTAGAATGATTGACCCCACAAAGACAGATCAGTAATTTAGAAAAAGAAGCTCAGCGATTGCAATGAATGCCTTAACACACAACCACACAATAGCATAGTGGGAGAGGATTAAAATTGGAAGAAGTAATATAGGTAGGTGGAGAGTCAGATAGGTTGATTACTGAATCCTTGTTCATCGAGTGAATCTACACCCAAACACGTGCAATAGGAGAATGACTCATCACTCATACCAGAAATATGGAAAATACTACTACCAATCATCAAATCAAGTGATGAAAAATAATGGAATTATATGAACGAAGTTAGAAAGTTGTGTGAGTGAGTACCTTGATATGATTATGAGTGGCAATAAATTGCCCTCGAAAGGTGATCGTCAGTAAATATTACCGTACAATAAATACTGTGAGACATTTGTAAAAAATTATATTTGTAAAGTTTCACCGAGATTGAAATGAGTAATTCCAACGTTCCCGGCGTTCGGCAATCTGGTCCGAACTTCTTCAGGGAAATTAATCGAAATTACCATAACATAGGTTTATATATAAAAAGGAACATCACTTGTTTTTGAAAATTTGTCCAATCATGAGTCATTCAAAAAGTATCAACAAGTATAATAAACAAAATTGTATGAGCTGTGATCAAAATTTGACCTCGGACTTACAAATATTGGTCTACCTTTGTTAAATACTTTAAACAGAGTGTGTATGTGTGTGTGTGTGTGTGTGGGTAAACAGTTGTAAAACATTTCTTAACGTTTCCATAAGAAGATATGGACAGTCTAGAATTTTGACCAAGTATTAATAATTAGTGATACATATCCATTTTTATTTATTAATAAGGATTTCCCATGCATCAGCTAACATCACGCCTTCATGTCCGTTCAAACTGTTAGTATCTAGAATTTTATGATTAGACGTATTTTCAAAATTATGGTGTTTAGGTTTAGCGTTTAGTAGAAGCACCCTGTCGGACTTATTGCTTTGCCTACTTTCTGAAGATTGAGCTGCTTTATTCGACCTACTGGAGTTGTCAGGTGACACGAACGAAACGTTGGAATTACTCATTTCAATCTCGCTGAGACTTTACAAATATAATTTTTTACAAATGTCTACTTCTCACTCGGCGCCCAAATATTTTAGAACTATTCTGTCAAATCTTGACGACAGTTCATTTGAAATACTGTGAGACTTCATCAAAATAAATTTCACCCACAATGGAATTAAGCTCTACCACAGTGAACAAGTTCTATTCTTATATCAATGCTACATTGACAATGTGTTGTCTTCCTATTTCATTGAAATTCTTAGGAAGGACGTAAGTTATACAGTCAGATAAATTACAATTTTGTGTCTAGTAATCGTCTAAATATGCATTTCAGGCAGAACAGTTAGAGTGTTGTTATTTAGCTGTTGCTTGTATGTGCACATATATTAAACACCGTGTCACTGGACCAATAGTGTAGACAAAAATGGTTAGTCGTTGAAACATTTTTGCTCACCTACCTACCTGATCATCATCGTTAGTGGTAACATTACCATCGAGAGAATAAGAGAATCCAACGCCGGCTGGAGACTCCAAGTAAAGCACATTTCCAAGCTGAGAAATTATTAAAATTGTGGGGAAAATAAAATAAAATAAAAGATAATTCAGTGGAACAAAACCAACCTTTATCGACGAAATCCTCTTCAGAGACTGTATAGGCGTATTGATAATTTATTAAATATTCCCATAGTAAAATTTAGAACAACACATTCAAGCGAACAGTTTTGTGCTTTCAATTAGATCTCATCAGGCTTAACTCTAATATATATAAGTTTACAAATAAAAATTCAAATATATATTCATGAATAATTCCCATTCGGACATTAGTAGACAAAAGACAAGTAGTTCAGCAAAGAGTCTCTTTTCGGCGAATTCATTTTCAAAGATGTACAATCGCAAATATATATGGTTATTTTGTGTGTGTGTGTATACATTAAATTTGTCAAACAAAATACGGTTAGTAAGTTCAAATGAATTGGATGTTGATAAGAGGATAGCAACAAAAGTGATGAGTTGTCAAAAACGATTGTTAACGAGGAGTAAGTTCAGGTGAATTGGATGTTCATATAAGAGGGTAGTAACACACATACACACACACACACAAAATAACCATATATATTTGCGATTGTACAGCTTTGAAAATGAATTCGCCGAAAAGAGACTCTTTGCTGAACTACTTGTCTTTTGTCAAATATATATAATACCTTCTCAGCACCAAAAATTAAAAGAATTATTAATAGACGGATGATTTATATACCTTAGATATAATTTGTTCCTTTACTTATTCTCAAGACAAATCATACATTTGCATAAAGCAAGAACAACAGTGGTGGTTTGTGCAGAATAATATGGTACCATCCTGTGTTTACTACGTTGGCTTCTCATCATCTGCTGCATACAGCCTAAATAAATTATGAGGTTTATGTACAGAAACGTGTTTTTAAGATACTCGCCGATATTTTTTCATAATGCCAGTTGACAGAAAATTGCGCTTATATAGTTTTTACACAGGCAGTGCAAGTTCAAACAACATATATATGTGTGCATACAATGGTGAAGGAGTTACGCAGTAAAGACGAGAGAGATGCGTAAGATGCTGAGTGACTAATAAATTAGGTAACAATGTACTGAGTCCCACTCAAATCATAGAAAAAAGGGACACGAGCAAATTACACTATGTCAAAGGGGTGAGGTTAAAACCAAAGATTACGTAATCAAATGAAAGAAAGAATAAAGACATCCAGTTACCAGACAGGGCAAAGAAAGACTGATAACTGCTTCTTTCTGAACACACACATAAATCTGGTTTCAACCGTTTATTAGAAATTGTTTCGGCAAACTTAAGGAGAATCGAGCTCCTTTGTCTATTGGTAGTTTTAAAGGATTTCGCGATTTCCACCTCATGACCACCCGTAACGAGATGTCTGGTGGTAATGATGCTATTATATAAGAGTTTGTTCCCTTGAGACATAGGCTTTTCGGCACGTGTTCAGAAAATCCGAAGTGTGCCCTTCTCTCTGTTCTCCCAATGTTGTAACTGCTCCTGCTGCAGATACACGTAAATTTGTATACACAGTCGGAGTTAACATGAGAGAGAGAGGTGGGTATCTGTCGACTTTTGACTGCACCAAAGAGCATGTTGTTCGATGGACGGGAGCCAACTTAGCTGAAGGATAGATAGGCTCTGGCTAGTGACGTAATCAGTCTCATACAATATAATATGAGCACTCAGCAATGCCTTACATAAAAGAGAAAGAGGGAAAGACCATAAATGTTTGTTTCCTACCTCCTGTGTCAAGTGGTATAATATGGTAACACTGAGGAGGTTAGATGTAGAGTGTTTCTTAGTTGGGTAAGAAGGAAAAGTCAATCGAAGAGGTTGTGAAGCTGCATAGACTGAGAGATGGATGGGGCACACACATGTTACACATGCTCAGCCATCTCGTTCTGCGATTGGCGATGTCAGCTGGCATAGAATTATGTCAGGAAAGAGTTAGGCGTGATTACAACGAAACGCCAATCGCCATCAACAGGAGGGATTTGAAAGAGGTTACTTCATTCACTTATCTAGGGAGCATTGTCTCAACTACAGGCACATGGAACGGACGAGGATGTCAAATCGAGAATGGAGAAGGCGAGAAATACATTCATCAACCTGAAACCAATCTGAAAATCTTCGTCACTCAACTCAGCATCAACAACAAAATTCGGATTTTCAATACAAACGTCAAGTCAGTCAGTTCTTCTATACGGATCAGAAACTTGGCGGCGGGTCACAAAGAATATTTCCAACAGCCTGTTGCAGACCTTTATCAACAACTGTCTTCGTTCTATACTCAAGATCAGATGGCCTGAAAGAATCACCAACAAGAAACTATGAGAAGAAAAAAACAAGAACCAATCGCTCAAGAAATATGCAGGAGAAAGTGGAGATGGATTGGACACTCGCTGAGGAGGCCGCTGGGTGACATCGCGCGTCAGGCCAATGCTCGAGTGGAAGGCGAAAGGGAAGCGGCGAGTGGGAAATCGAAGGGTGACATGGAGGAGATTGTGTGAAGAGGAGTTGAAACAGTATGGAATAACATGGATGCAGGTGAAAAGTACAGCAGAAGACAGAAGCAAGTGGAGACGTGCAGTTGAAGCCCTATGTTCCACTAGGAACCCAAGGGAACAATAATAATAATAATACACCGAAACCTGACATCAATTTATAAAGTCTTTGACTGTTGGTTTAAGCCTGTCACATAGAGAAGTGTAGACCTGCATGAGTGGGTTTATCCGAATGCCAATAACTATCAGATGACATGGCCTAAAATCATTCTCAATAGCGCTGAGATGTATTCAATCTTCATAATCTCTCTCTCTCTCTCAGATCCGTTAAATCCGACTATTCTTTCCACTGTGTTCATCATAACAGTTCTTCCCTATTTCTTTTTTCTGACATTTCTGACATGAACTCCCGCGCTTGTGCAAAATTCCATATGCCTCAACTCAGTCAGTCAGTCAGTCCATACAGCTGGCGATGAGTGACACACTTATTGTGTGAATAGTATTAGTGATAACGCCTGGCCTTTCCAAACCTGTGACCCAATGGCCGGAATCCATGAGCATAGATCAATAGGCCACAGCTTCACTCCATAATTATATCACAATGAGTCAGCTTGTATTCTCATGACAAGACTTCTCACTATTGTAAAACAAATTGACGTAAAATCCATAGGATTATATATATATGGGGGGAAAGTACTTCGAAAACGGAAACACACGATTATATATTTTTATTGGTGGAAACTCGAATTGAAACAAAATTATGCATGGCTCCAACTTTGTTTCTGTTTGTCTGTCTGTTTTCAACACAGAACTTTGCACCAATGTGCAGCAGTTCAAGTCGCCACACTTCACTCCTTGTAGCACACAAAGCGAAAGAAGAAAGTAAAAGATAGAAATGCAAAATGGAGACAGTAGACAGGGATATGAGACAAAACGAATAGTAATAACGAAGAACAATATAGTTTCATTGGAAATTATAAGTCACAAGGAGTGGATGCATCTGCGTTAGCCATTGAGAAAGATCACTTTGAGCCATGTCACCAATTGTTTCCAACCATTGGTTTTTACCGTCCCGAGGAACCCAACCAGTCAGTCAGGGAGTCTACACCTTCCTACGTGGCTGGCTGGCTGGCTTAAACTAACTGTTGTGGATTTCATTGACTGGTGCCATGCTTTGGTTTGACCGCTGCTAGCTTTCTCTTTTCCAACCTGACCCATCCTACGTCAGCTAACATTGTCCGTCGAGGAAGGCGATAGACGGCTAGGCATGCGTAACACATATCCTAACCATCTCAGTCGATGTAGCTTCACAGTCTCATCGATTGATTTCTCCTCCTTACCTAGCACTCGACCGACGCCTAACCTCAATATTGCTCACCCTATTATACCACTGAACACGAGAGATAGATCGCAGGCATCTATGATCGAAGGCAGCTTGCCAGCTTTTTCATGCCTACTACTCTTAATGGCCAGGTATCACATCTAAACAGGAAGGAGGACGGAGTGGACTGGTGGTTTAATTATATATGAATGCACTTTCATGTGTTCAATACAAACGCATTGACAAGTTGTACTTCAAGGAAACTGAACCCAAATAAACAGCTGAAATAAGTAAGTTTTAATTTAACCAATGACTGGTTTCAACGTGGAACTTTGCATAGATTTTTCGCAGTTCAAGTTGCCACTCTCACTCCATGTACCACACAAAGCAAGAGAAGACAGTAGAGGCAGGTTCAAAACAGAGATAATAAACACAAGTGTGAGTGAGAGGAAAAGAACAGTAATATCGAAGAACAATAGAATCGTATTGGATATTATAAATCACAAAGAGTGAATAGATCTGCGTCATTTAGAGCGATTCTAAGTCATATCATCAATTATCACCAGTCTTCATTCGTTTTTGCCATCCCAAGGAACCCAAACAGTCAGGAAGTTCATACCTTCCTACGTGACTGTCTGGTTTAAAATAAATGTTTTGGATTCCATTGACTGATCCCATTTTTTCGTTTGACCACCACTAGCTACCTCTTTTCCAACTTTATCCTATATCAGCTAACATTGCCCGTCGATGAAGGTGATCGATGGCTAGGCATGCATGAGTAACATATATCCTAACCATCTGAATCAGTACAGCTGCTTACCGACCTCATCGATCGGTTTCCCCTCTTACCTAACACTCAACCAACGCCCAACCTGAATATTATTGGCTCCCTTTATACCATCTAACACGAGAGATACAAAGCAGGCACAATTTAACCGATGACAAAAACCTATGTAGGGGATTGGGCAAGGTAATAGCCAAAAGACAACGTAAGGTTCTCTGTGACACCATCCGAGGCATCACTAAGCCCCAGCTAGCTATCCGCCGTCTCACTCGTTGTGGTGATGTGAAACGTATCTCCAGTTTAGTCTACGAAAAGACTCGTAGAGTGTTCCCCATGTGATCTTGGAGAATGTTATTTGTGACGCTGTAACCTACACTGTAATTCCACAGTGATTATACTTAACAGATCGATAGTATTTAAAAACACCAATATTGTTAATGACCATTATTCTAGAATATTCTATGTAGATAAACATATATATGTAATTGTAGAGCCAGAAGAGAAAATTATCGAAAATTTTATTCTATGCTCAATGTTTTTTTTAATATTTGAATGACTATTTTCGCTATATCAAAAAAAACTAAGTGATATCACTAACGATCTGTTTTGTTAGCAGCTAACTACTAAGAATATGACAGAGTACAATTTTCAGACACCTCGCGATCACAAAGGATTTAACTGCAAAAATTGTTTATAGATCAAAAGAAAGCACGCAGATTTAATGGATAAAAGAGATCACCACAAATGGTCGAAGCATGTGCATCATTAACAACGGTTTTGAGTCATACCACCAACATTCTCAAGCCATTGATTTTTATTATTTCGAGGTCCACGATCGGACAGGCAGTCTACACCTCCCTACATCGCTCAAACTGTCAAAGATTTCATTGGCTGATACAAGGCTTCGGTAAAACCATCCTTATATCTCTTCCCTTATAATTCTACGTCACTTAGTATTCCTCGTTGGAGAAGGGAAGTTTGCCGACGATATGCGCAAAAATTGTGTTCCTTAAAAAGTTATCTCATCGGAAGATGCATTTGGAAATTGGAGTGTCTGAAGACCATCGACCTTTTAACAGATTCAGCGAGCATTTTCTTCGGGTGAACAACAGAACCTCGGACAGTAATCCCCAGTCTACCTAAAAGATCCCGAAGTGCGCCCTAAGTTCTGGCAACTGACTAGGAGCTAAAACTACACGACTAAGACTACAAACTAAACCATTAGTCGATAGCCACCATAAATGCAAACCTACTATATACACAGCTTGTCACAACAAACAGTATACTGCCGTCAACTGAAACACTTACGATAAGAGAAAGCAGCGGAATTTAATGAAACACATATTTAGTATTCATGTAAAATGACGTTACAATATTTTGACATTTCATACGAGGAGTCAAACACTATATAAATCACCAGAAGCATTCATCCATTTACTTTCTGCATCTCGTCTCTTCTCCTTGTTCCGGTCGACGGCAATCTGAAAATAAGTTTAAAAATTTGAGAAATACCATAGGCGAATGTCGCTGTTTTCTTATTCTTGCCTTCGGTCTGTCACAACTGTTGTGGAACCAACGTTGAATGGAAGGAATGAGGGCTTCCACTGTGCTACGTTAATCAGCACTGCCTTGTTCATGGGAACTGCTAATGGATCCTGAAAACTACAACGCAAAGAACATTCACTTATGGATTACAAGGTTACACGTCTTCGTGTCATTGAATTACTTCTTCTTTTTCGTAGCATCGGACCATGAAAATTGTGTGCTGTACATTGGCTCCAACAAAACATTCATGATGCCACCAACGGACACACTACGGCGGTATTCCTCGTCGGATAGCCTCATCTCAAAGGAAGACACAACGGAATCGCTGTCCAACTACCATCTGCCTGAAGACTTCAACAGAATTCATAGTGGAGACATCCTGGTCAATGCTCTCGAGCACTTTGAGTCGCAACAGCTTGAACCCAATCTCAGTAACACGTGTTTCTAAGTGTGAATGGCTTTCCCGCCGGCACAGCCATTAACACTTCCAAACAACCAGATGTGCAGGCACCTGTCTCTTCAGTCCTCGAACACCTACAAGTAATATTTGAAATGAAATTGAACCTACATGTCAGCGGGTGATGAACTGTAAGTTTTCGACGTTGAAGCGACAGTAGACAATCTGAAATGAAATTTCTTTTAATTGTAATATACCTTTCATTTGTGTTCAACCTAGGGGGGAGGCTTTTGGAAACTAGGTGTATCGAACTGAAATTCCCTGCCAGCCAAAAACCGAGATGGGTAGTTTAAAGGTGTATGTAGTATATACTGAAACCTTTCTTGTCAGATTCGTAACACTGCGAAGATTAGCCAAGATTTACAGCTTACCGGTTCTTCACCTTGCATTGGCTTGCAGGTTCCGTGTCCTTAGATGACGACGACACCCTAAATGAGGAGTGCAACAGTTCCGATGCAGTTTTCACTGTAACGGCTTCCTCAAAATTATCCGAAAGGGAACATTATTACAAAATTCCACGTTACTGTAGCGCCCCCAAAAAAGAAGGAACTCATAAATCATGGAACCTGGTGCAGCCTCTGCATGTTCCATGACTTTATCACATGAATACGCCCATGGAATGATCACTGATCTACCAATCACCCACACCTCGGTAACTATCAAAATCTTATCCATGGCAGGGAATTTTGACAACCATAAACTGCTTAGTCATCTGCAAATAATGTGCCACTATTAGATACGAAAATAGGGACATAGGAAGAAGGGAAGTCTTGCAAGAAGTGTGTTTATACAAATGTGTGTGTGCCTTTATAATTAAAGCAACTAAATACGAAACGAAACTCACCATTTGGTTGTATCCTTGGTATCGGTCAGCTGTGGCTGCATGTAAACTAATGAGTAGTTATTAAGTTACGACAATTTAGAGGTATGTAATATGGAAATTACAACGGATTAATGCACAAGATTTAAGCTAATTCAGTTCGATTGAATTTCATTGAAAGTGTGAATACGTGTTTCACCCTTTAAGTTGTCTACCTGATATATTCCTAGAATCCAATGATTGTTCAATAAAAGCCTTGGGCTTCTTATAGGCACGAAATCTGAACTGATTTTCGTTTATGATTTCACAAATAACTCCTGGGGTGTATTGCCCTTATTTTAAGACTGGCAAGAGTAGCAGTTTGTTTAGACACGCTTACAGATGCATTAGTAATCTCCATTTTGGTCGAGTCAGCTCCTACTAAGCATCTCGACTGCAGGGTTATTGGGACTTGTGACTAGACTCTGCAGGAAACATATTTTGGACTCAAATGGGAAGCAAAAGAAAATAGTATCATACCTCCTCACATACGTGCAGTAAGCCATGAAGGTTGTAGACCAGGTTATCATCCCCAAATATTGACCTAAAGTTCCCTACAAATTTAGTCAATACATTTTTTACATCATCTAGGTAATACAAAGAATAAGTTAGATGACTTAAAATATAACAGGCTAAGAATAAATTTAAAAAATTATCAAAAAAGCAAGAAGCTGATGCATCTTTTAGGTAGACGACTCCTAAATGTAAAAGAAACAGCCAGCACTGTTGCTTTCCAGCAGTCCACCTCGTCTAAAGTGGGACACTTACGTTGTAATTCAGGAGTCAACTTATGCGAGCTAAGTAGTCAAGAGTTAACAGTTCAAAATAGTATTATTCATACCATCTTGCCTACCTGTGGCTATCACTTTCCACAAGCCAATCAACTTTCGAACTACTTCTAAGTAGATGAGATGCATGCTGTCTAAAGGAAAAGCAGTGGTCATGTCTACATGCAAATTTTCGAAAGGAGAATTACCCTTGTGGTGACATGGCAACGTTTGCCTGAGAAAACCCACGTCTGTTCTCAGAGCTGCACATGAATTTCAAAAAAAGCCATGCGATTCTTCTGTCGCTTCAACGTCGAAAACCTACAGTCCATCACACGTTGACATGTAGGTTCAATTTCATTTCAAATATTACTTGTAGGTGTCCAGGGACTGAAGAGACAGGTGCCTGCACATTCGGCTGTTTGGAAGTGTTAATGGCTGTGCGGGCGGGAAAGCCAGTCACAATTGGAAACACGTGTTACTGAGATTGAGGCCGAGCTGTGGCGACTCAAAGTGCTCGAGAGCATTGACTAAGATGTCTCCACTATGAATTCTGTTGAAGTCTTCAGGCAGATGGTAGTTGGACAGTGACTCCATCGTGTCTTCCTTTGAGGTGAGGCCATCTGATGAGGAATACCTTCGTAGTGTGTCCGTTGGTGGCATCATGAATGTTTTGTTGGAGCCAACGTACAGCACACAATTTTCATGGGCTGATGCTACGAAGGAGAAGAAGTAATTCAATGACACGAAGACGTGTAACCACCTTGTAATCCGTAAGTGACTGTTCTTTCCATTGTAGTTTTCAGGAACCATTAACAGTTCCAATGAACAAGGCAGTGCTGATTAACGTAGCACAGTGGAAGCCGTCATGCCTTCCATTCAAGGTTAGTTCCACAACAGTTGTGACAGATCGAAGGCAAGGATAAGAAAACGACGAAGTTCCCCTATGGTATTTCTCAAGTTTTAAACTTATTTTCAGATTACCGTCGACCGGAACAAGGAGAAGAGACCAGATGCAGAAAGTACATGGATGAATGCTTCTAGTGATTTATATGATGTCTGACTCCTCGTATGAAATGTCAAAATATTGTAACGTCATTTTGCATGAATACTAAATATGTGTTTCATTAAATTCCGCTGCTTTCTACTATCGTAAGTGTTTGAGTTGACGGCAGTATACTGTTTGTTGTGACAAGCTGTGTACATAGTAGGTTTGAATTTATGGTGGCTAACGACTAATGGTTTAGTTCGTAGTCGTTGTCGTGTAGTTTTAGCTCCTAGTCAGTTTCAGAAACTTCCGTATGTTTTAGGTAGACTGGGGATCACTGTCCCAAGTTCTGGTGTACATCCGAAGAATATGAATTCTGGGGTACATTTGCTATAAACATGGATGATTATTATGAGCAGCTATAGGAATAAGACTACTGACATTCCGTGATGAAAGTCACAAATACCTTAGCAAACGTTTAGAAGGGCAGGAATGAAACTATGGGGTTAAGATGACTACATTACAAAATGGAACATATACAACCTGAGAATAATAACAATAATAAATATATATACGCTGGTGGAACTCTAAATATCGAGTAAATGAAGTAAAAACATTTAGCTTACCTTATTCCATGAGAATGGATTATATACAAGTTTATAGGGATATATAGGTCCCTTTTTAATCTGAAATAGAAACCAAGGTATAAAATTATCAGTTAATATTAAAAATAGAATAAAAACCCAACAGCCACGAGTAATAATGCGACTAAACTTCTTATTGTCATTTAACCCAGTTGGGAAACTGCTACAAGCAACACCGAATATTAAGCCAAAACCTGAAGATTCCGGTGATGAAGGCTATAGTCAAATTCAATACATAGCTAATTATATGCTAACTTTTTTTTATTTTTTTTTTTGATTTACAGCTTGATTCCACACCGTATTTTCAGTACAAGTATGGAATTTTCAGCATGGATATCGGTAGCCCAAATTCAGGCCGACCATAGATATCGGGTGTGCGCCGGCAGGGGATCGAACCCCGGACCATGTGCATGGTCCGCGAGAGTCCTAACCACTGTGCCACCGACTTATAAATTATATTCCGATCCTAAGTTTCCTCAGGAATAAGCTAGGTTTAAAGCAACCTCAAATAAAAAATCTTGAGGCAATGTAGCGAGGAAATCTCGCGCAAAAGCAACACTTTTCCTCAGATCTGAGGGATTTCGAAATCCCTAAACTGCCCCGAAAAATCTTATTACGGAACGATGATGGTCTCCTTACCTTTCAGGCCTTCCCATACAGATGATATTCAAATATGGGCAACTCTAAACAATGGGAACTCAAAACGAAACGACCTACGAACGCACAAATGACCTTGTGAAGGACCAATCAGAAGGCTCAAAAAAACGACAATAGTCGTCCCAGGCAGCACTAAGCGCTAGATAATAGGCAATAATACACATGCCCTGCGCTTAGGGGTCGCCTCAATATGTCCTTTCTGGAGGCTGGTGTCATATATCCCCAAAACCTATTGCTGGAAAAAACAGTCACCTGGTAAACTACTTTAGGATTTTTCAAAGTTAACAAAAGGCATGAGATGAGAGACGATAATAATCCATGTTGTTAAAATTTGACCACCAATAACCTTGAAGGTGACAACCACATGTAAAGCTTATTATGTATGAAATACATATATTTATGAAAATAACGAATAAATAGGCATGGAAATGTTATGCAGGATACTATCCTTCCATGTGGGACAAATATGCCTCCTGGTTTAGCCTTGGAGTGTCAACAGAGCAATTAAACCTCATTCTATGCATGTATCCATCTGCGTCTTCTAAACGTAACCTTGAACCTTATCTATCCTAAACATAACCCTAACACGAAACTATCCTTAAACTAACCATAATCTAACTGGAAACAACCATAATATCTGCCGTTTTAGGTTAACCTAACCCTAACCTGTTCTTAGCCTAAACCGCAACTATATAATTCGGAAGCATAACCTTAGACTAACCATATATATCTATACATATATATATATATATGGTATATTCCGCTTGATATCAGAACACTCCACTAAGTATTTTTATCCATAATTATAGTGTCATTTGCCTGCTTCTACTAACCTGCTGACTGAGCTTCCCAAGGTCATTGCTGCAGTTGCATTCCCAGACTCCCAAAGTTTAGTTTGCCAAATTCATGATTGAAATGTAAACAAGATGATATCAAATGATAGCGTTTTGCTTGTCTGCAGCATTTAACTCCTCCTCAGTTGCGAGGCCTAATCGATAAAATAGCGGACATAAACAATCTAAATCTTATGTCTGTATTGTGTGTAGAAAAACCAAACTAACGTTTACCAAGAGTTACTCGTTTTCCAAGTTAATTAAAAGACAGCCAAAACCATGTGAGCACTGCTCAGCCTTATGTACTCATCGCATGAATGACATAGCTTCGGTCAAAGGTATTCCGTGCCAACACCGGAAAATTTTTTCCTGATTATTAGGATATAACTTACTAGGTATGGACCGTTCTCAGAAAGTAGACCTTCCAATGATGAGCATCCAGGGCCACCACTCAACCATAATATGAGAGGCGCAGATTCTGGATTTATGGCAGCTTCAACATGCCAATAGTGAATTTGGATTTTGTCAGTAACACCATTAAGGTATCCCGAGTATTGTGAGAAGTTTCGTGGTTCCCCAACTCCTGGTAAATGCAAGATCTTATCTACATCTCCTGGTTTCGCGCCCTTGACTACAGATATCCAACAGCCACTGAATATTAGGAAATATGACAGGACGATGTAAGCCATAACATTGAAATTGAATGGAGTGACAGTCCGCGCAAACTTTGAAAAGGGTGTGAATTTTGCAAGCACCTTTTTAATTTCCGCTATTGTTGTGCTATACAACACAAAAGCCTGCAGATTAACCATACAACTGGTTGAAGCTATTTTTTCATAAGTTTTGAGTTGAATTACCTATAACATTTCTCTTATCTTCAAATGGCTAATTTAGGCTGTTAGGTCATGTTTGAGTTCCGTAGTTACCAGTTTGGTCCTAAAAACTTCGCCTACTAAAAAGAATTGTTACAATACACTCGTGTTTCAGTTCCCAGTTGAGGACTGCATGCGGCGTGATAGTTGTAGCTGTCTAGGAAACCAATTAGTTGGGCTGCCAGGACGAATTCAAGCTCGCGTCTGGTTGGTCTCAAGTATAAATAACGATAACGACTGCTGTGTGGCTGTTTATCCCTCTATTCCTGAACTTTGGTCACGCTGCGTGCTGACTCTTTAGCCTCGCCCAAATAGCCTGGTGGGAGAATATAACAACTTCTTTGATCCCCTGCAACTGCTGGTTCCACAAAATGTGCACCAACGTGATGCATGCAGCATAGAAGCGTTGTTGGAAACCGTTTGCACACCGATTATGCAGCGAAAAATAAATTAACCCCTCAAAATTCACAGTACAAAGGGCAGGCCAGCTGACCCACAGGGAAGGCGATGTGGTCATCTGCCTCAGGAAGTGCCTGGCCTTGAGCGTCAATGAAGCTATCACACACAAAAGTGGATTGGGTGAACCACGCCACAGGCTAAAATGCATAGCATAAGACAAAAAACAAACTGCAATATATTGCACTCTCGATTGCAATCCAGTTACTTCCTGATAGAGAACTAGGCTCATGGACATTCAGATGCCGAAGTTTCGCAGTTGACAACTTCATAGCCTCTGTAGTGGACTGGATGATCCTTACAATGCCATTCTGAGGTGATTCTTTCATTATAAACTGCTGGAATCTACTGTTTTATAAGTCCGAGTACAACGCTTTACGAAGCCTAGGCGATATACCTCACAACGCTACTCCTGAGACCTGAATTTCTCCCGTAAGAAATATATGAAATTCATACATCTCCAACTCCTGAAGAGAAGTGATCAAGTTTACTGTTACAGCCATATCATGGGCAAAAACCCCAGCAGGACCCTATAGTGTGTATCAAGGCACAAATAAACATTCTGTTACCAACCACTCTTCCGTTCTACCGCCAGAGGACCAACTCAAAACTCCCCTTATATACAGCGGTACGCAATATAATGCCGCAAAGCATGGTTCCCGGTCAGCCCTTATTTATCTTGTATGCCAAGGAACTACACAGGCTGGTGTAATCTCCAGTGGTTACCTGCACAGAGTACCATATTTTGGAGGGAGATGATATGTCTACATTGTAGAGAGAACTTAAAGAGGGATTACTATAATCGTAAGTAGTGTGATCACTTCTTTATACACACCTCCGGTGAGCTCAAAACAGGGAAACCGCTTCCTGGAGGCCAGTTCTTGTCTCAGGGAGGATTCATACATTCTAGAAATAGGTCAAAGGAAGGCGACACTTATGTTTTCATGTATAACCAATTTATCATACGATGACAGGCCTAACAGTCTCATTCCTTTTTTTCTTCCTATGCCATAGGCAACGAGAAAATTTCATTGGCACGTTTAAATTTCTAAGAAATGACTAGGATCCAGGTCTACCTCTTCTTTTCCTTCCCACCAGGTCAGAACACCCCAGTGAAAATGGAACGAGAGTTCAAAATCCAAAAAAGAAATACACTGCTAGTGAGTACCCCTAAAACCAGGTCCCAGAGGTGGTGGTGTCAGCGCCCTCAACTGAATCATTCCAGAAGGTTGTCAAAAAGCACAGAACTTATTGGAGAATCATTACTATGTGCTCCAAGTATTCTTTCCTCATTGAATATATCTAGACTGAGAGCAACTCCACTGTAATTCCTGTTTCAGATTACCTATAAAGAATATATTTTATCAGAAAATTGGTTCTACCGCAAGCCGTTTATTCTAAGAAAAGGGGGACAAAATGTGATTGGTCATATGGGGAATTTCGAAATGTGCTATAAGCGCGTTAGCTAACACTGCTTCGATAATATAGAATTTAGGTTGGTGAACGGGTCGTTAACTTATATCTGGCATCATTTTCCGAAGTTTAGAAGATAGGCAAGTCTAATTAAACGCGGTATGAAGTATCCAATTTCGATGAAGTTTAATTCACCATCCTTTGTAAACTAACCAACCACTAATACCGTACTGCGTCGTAGAGTCGGGCTATAACTTCAAATGATGGACCAACATTTTCTTTTTATATGCGGCATGAAGTGAATTTTGATTCCAAAACAAGTGAACTAATTCAGTGCGTCAGTGAGGGTATATTTTAACATTAGGGATGGTGTGTCGCAACAAGACATTACTGTTGTCTCCCTTAGTCCCTAGATGAGCATTGGACGCCAGTCGCACGTCCCCATCTGTTGGCGTTCGGTTCTCCACCAACGTTTTCAGCTGGCTCCACGTCTGCCCACATATTTTCACCTCCTCTTCGCATGACTTCCTCCATGTCACAATCACACTGTAGACCAAGTCCCCGCTTCCTGTTCGGGTTCCACTCGACCGATGGCCTGACGTGTGGTGGATGCCACCTGATGATGGTTTGTTTTCTCAGAGTACGCCTAATTCACCTTCATTTCTTCCAGCGTATTTGTTGTACAATTGCTTCCTGTTGATGATCTTTTATGGCCATCTGATATTGAGTATTGAGCAAACACAACTGTCGATGAAAGCCTGTATTTTGTTCGAAGTGCCCATCGTGACGCGGCGCAGCGCCAAGTCCCTGATCCGTAAGTACAGGAAGTACCCCTGACTTCACATTGGAGTTGAAAATCCTGATCTTACTTTTCATGCTGAGTGCTGTTGATTTCCACACAGACTTCAGGGTAGTGAAAGCTTGCCTTGCTTTCCAGATCGGCGCTTCCATATCCTCATCAGTTCCGTCGGCCTGTAGTTGAAACGATGCTTCCCAGGTAGATGGGTAAGTGGGTGAGTAAGTAATGGAGACTTTCTCTCAGATTTCTCTCGTTCATGCTGATTTTTGTCTGTTGTAGTTGCTGTCGCTGTTGGCCAGGATTCTTCATCACCTCTGTTTTCTCTATGTTCGCCTGAAGTCCCACCTTTGATACTACTTCTATCGCCAACGTTTTGCTTTTCACTTGCATAGTTTCCAGTTTGTGAGAAATCAGACAAATATCCCCGGAAAAGTCCAAATCCTCCAAGCTTTTTGTGTGGGTCCATTTTAGGCCTGTTCCCTGGCCGCCACTGTCTGTCACATTATCCAGTCTACCTCAGTCAGGAAAATCATTGGAGATATTAGGCAGTCAGCTTTCCCTACTCCCGTCTTCACTTCGAAGGATTCCGTTAGTTTCGTCAATGCACTGGATAATCTTTTGTTTCACCATCCTTCTCTCTACTATTAGCCTCCAAGTGTCCGTAGTGAACCTCTACTTGTCTTGTCTTCTTCTTTCTGTCTTGAAATTACATGCAGGTTTGACTCCACACCGCTTTCACGCTGTTCCAGTGTTTTTCAACATTTTCCTCTTCGCTAGTACTGATTCGTGTCTCCACCTCTTTCCTTTTGATTTCAGTGAAGAAATCCTTTGTGCCCTGGTCCTTCAGTTTTTGAGTAATAGACTAGGCTTGTGGTCTATCTGCAGCTCCTGTTTCTCTGAAAGCTTTTAATTTGATTTTGATTGTCCCTTGTACGAGGTAGTGATCTGAGCCAACGTCTACTCCTCTTCTTACTTTTGTGTCTAGTAAGCTGCTTCTCCACTTCCTTGAGATTGGGATGAAGTCAACTTGGTTTTTAGTTCGTCCGTCTAGTGACACCCATGTAGCCTTGTGTATATTATTATATCCTTTTGCTTGTATACACTGCCACCAATCACTAGTTAATCGAAGGCACAGAAGTCAGCGAAGAGTTCCTCGTTTTCATTTATTTCTCCGAGAGCTTCTCTATCCATGATGAGTTCTCTTCGTGTATTGTCTGGTCCCAGTCTGGCGTCCATGTCGCCCGTCAAAATTTTTATATCACCGACTGGAGTACTGTTCATCGTTGCCTGTAGTTGTCTGTGGAACTCTTCTTTATTTCTGAGGTCTGTTTTGTTTTTGGGTGCATAGCATTTTTAATTGTCACTCTCCTTTCTTTTGAGTGGAATATGACGGTCATTATTCTCTCATTGTATGAGGGCCTTCGTTGCCATTGGTGACATCATGATAGCCATACGCTCGGTGTGCATGTGGTTGTCTTCTTGGTGACCGGAGAAGATCACTGACCCTCCCGTTGAAAATTTGGTGAGTCCGCTCCCATTCCATCTACTTTCACATACCGCTAGAACCTGAATACCGTATCTCTTCACATCACTTGCAATCTGGGCAGTTTTGCCAGTCTCAGGCATAGTGTGAACGTTCCATGTCCCCACACATACTTTTCCTTTCGTCGCAAGGAGACCGATCGTACTGGAGTTTCTGCACCAGTTTTGTTTACAGGGTGGGGTTGCTAGCCTCACGCCTGAGGAGGAAGTTGTTACAGAGTGATGCAAGTTACAGATGAGCGAGTTTTTGGTTGCCCCCTTTACAATCAGGAAAATAAGAAGTAAAGCAATCGGAACAAAAAAATATAACATGAAAATCAAAGATGGCAACGACACGAACGTAGCAAAATTATTACTGCCAAATACGACTGCTGAACATAACAGGTAAACCAGAGGCTCACTGGTTTGAGCCGACTTGGCCATGTTTGTCGAATAATATATACAGATATGTATTAGTTAGTGTCTAACAATCACAAATTGGAAATATATGTCAACAGAATCAGCGTTCAAAAACAAAAGGGGTTAATATAGATTTCACCACCTCTGAGTTGAGTAGGTAATGATTATCGGCAGCAGATCTATCCACTCAATGTCTTTAACAGTCATAAATCGGCTAGCAGTTAGTCATGGGTAATAATGGTCAACGAGATTATATCCACAGGATCAGTGTTTGAAAGTTAACCAATTACAATAAATTCTAC